CCAAGAAAGGACATGTTCTCTCTTATAACAGGAGAGAAGAAGAGAAGATATCAGATTCGGGGGTGGAAAGATGAGAGTTCCCATTTAATGACTATTTTCATCTGTTTTATCAAAGATTGGGAAGTAAAAAGTGGGAGAGGGAACAGGAGGCTGGAGGGTGACAGACCTCAGCTGCCAGGGTGATGATGAAGCAATGACAGCGGGAGGCAGGGAATGGCTGACCCTGTCTAAGATACAGCCCCTCTCTGCAGGACCCCCAGCTGAGCCCCTGGAGCCCACCAGACCCCTCCCCACGCTCCCCGTCCGCAGGATCCACTCACCAAGTGAGAGGAAACATGAGCGCCAGCCCAGGCCACCTCGGCCGCCCCTCGGGGACCGGCCGTCCACACCGGGCGCCAAACCCAACATCTGTGATGGCAACTTCAACACAGTGGCACTCTTCCGAGGCGAGATGTTTGTGTTTAAGGTAGGGCCAGTCAACTGGTGACACCCAGATGGTCCTCTCCCACTTGCTCCCCCTCTGTGGAGCAGGAGAAGGCTGCTGCTCTGGGATTAGGCCCGCTTTGGGCCTGGACAGGAGTTGGCCCAGTGGCCAGGACTTGGGGTCCCTTTCTGGTGCTGCCGGGCGAATTGACTTGTTTCTAAGAGAAGGTGGGTAGACTGGTGATCTTATACCTTCCCAGGGGTTAATGCTGGGGGAAAGTGCTGGAGACCTGCTGGTCAGCGACTTTGAGCAAGTCGTCTCCCTTCTCTGGACCTCAGTTTCTCCATCTGAAGGTGGGGTCATTCCCTTAATGAAGGGTGTATGAAGACTAAATGAGTGCATGGCCATGAACATAGCAGCTTGGAGTAGGGGCTGACATGGCGATGGCAGAGTCTGTCTCCAGATCCTGCCAGGGCTGAGAAGCTGGGACTGAGGGATGCCTGATAGAAAGCTGGCCAGGCTACATCTTGTCACTTGTCCTGGTCCTATCACATTGGCCACTGGCTGACTGGGTGGCAGCACGTTTGGTTGGTATGCTACAGGTTGGGTTACCAGGGAAGTGGACTCTGAGACAGTGTTGAGAATGCAGGATTTTGATTAAAAAGTACCTTTGGGATCAACATCTGTGGGTAGGAGGGAAGGAAGTAAGACTGGGCAGAAGGAGAATATAAGCAGCAACTAGGACCATTGCAGAGTCGCCTACCCCTACAGGGAGTCCTATAGCTAGCATGGCCCATCAGAGTCATCCCACACAGGGCCCCAAATAGCTGGCACTTTGTACCTCCTGCTTCATTCAGTCATTGGATGAGAAGGGGCATGACCTTGGGGGAGCTTGCTGAAGCTGAGGCCATCCCCAGAGAGGCCTGCAGTTGAAAACAGCCTGCTGACCACATTGCGGACCGCCAGGGCAACAAGCCCTCCACGGAAAGGGGTCTGGTCAGGGTGTCTCCATCACACTGGGTGGCTGTGCGGGGCTGCTCCATTCCCCTCAGGGAGCTCTCCCAGCAAGCTTTGAGGACTGAGCAAGAATCAGGTGACACAGGTCAGCACTGATCCTGCCTCTCACAGAGTGGCTCTAGGAAAGTCACTGGCCTTATTTAAGATTCTGTATATCTTGGGACGCCCGGGTGGCTCAGTTAGTTAAGCATCCAACTTTGGCTCAGGTCGTGGTCTTGTGGCTCGTGGGTTCGAGCCCGGCATCAGGCTTATAGCACAGAGCCTGGAGCCTGCTTCGGATTCTGTGTATCCCTCTCTCTCTGTCCCTCCCCTGTTCGTGGTCTTTCTTTTTTTTTCAATTTAAAAAAAAAAAAAAAAAAAAAAAAGACTCTGTATATATCAAATCTACTTCATAGACTTGTGCAAGTCAAACTAAAGTTTTAAAAACAACATGAAAGTGCTTTGTAAAACACCTTGAAAAAAACGTTTCTAGTTTTTGTACCATCTTTTACAAATCACATTCATTCTGATCCCCCCACTCAACGGTTCCTAGGCAAGTCTGGGTTTTATCATCTCCATTTATTTTATTTTATTTTTTTAATTTGAGAGAGAGAGAGAGAGAGAGAGAGAGAGAGAGAGAGAGCACATGAGCAGGGGAAAGGGGCAGAGGGAGAGTGAGAATCCCAAGCAGGCTCTGTGCTCAGCATGGAGCCCCATGTGGGACTCGGTTCCATGACCCTGGGATCATGACCTAAGTCAAATCAAGAGTCGGATGCTCAAACGACTGAGCCATCCAGGTGCCCCTTTTATCATCCCCATTTACACTGAGGGTCCTGGTAGGTTACAGGCCTTGCACAGATTGCCTACCAGCCAAGGGCTGTACTGGCACAAGACACTAGTTTGAAGAAGAGGGCTTTCATCAGATTCTTGACCTACTGAGCTGCCATTTATTTAACATCAACCATGTGCCCTGTGCTGTTCTAGGTACTTTACCTATTACCTCTCCTCTGATCCCCAACATTACCCCCATTTGTAGGTGAGGTGCTTGCAGTACTGTGCCCACGGTCATGCAGTGCTAAGTGAAGTAAATTCACACCCAGGTCTCGAGGGATTCCCACAGCTTGCTTCCCAGGGTTCTCGCCCTGCTGGATGGAGCCAGAGGGTGAGGAGGGCATTCTGCTCAGGTTCAGTGGCCAGCCTTGTGAGTGGCCCACTGATGTCAGTGACTCTCTGCTGCCCTCATGTGGCCACTACAGGCCCCCGGCACCATCCCTTCCAGCTCCTCCCCACCTCATCCAGGCCAGTCTGCTGTCTGTCTCATAGCCCCTTGGACAGCAAGAACCTTCAGGAGGCTTATATGAAGAGAGTTAATGGGCATCCTGTCTTCCTCAGGGCATTGGAAGCTAGATGTGATAGACAGACATCACGGAGGGTTGCAAGGCTGGGCCCAGGGGAAGCTTTTGGGTAATTTGGGCTTGAGCCCCAAGGCTGAGATCCTAAGTTAAGGCAGGGCCTGCCATGCTTCTTTCTCCTCCCCTTACCCCCCAGGATCGCTGGTTCTGGCGCCTGCGCAATAACCGGGTACAAGAGGGCTACCCCATGCAGATTGAGCAGTTCTGGAAGGGCCTGCCTGCCCGCATAGATGCAGCCTATGAAAGGGCTGATGGAAGATTTGTCTTCTTCAAAGGTAATATAGCCTGTGCTAAGAGAACTGTGACAGTTCCCTGCCCTTTCTGGGACCCCCTTTCCCCATCTGTACACTGGAAGAGGCGGGGTGAGAAGCAGATGCCCTCCAAGAGCCCCTCTAGCCCTAACAGAGACACTGACTTCTGACAGGACTAATCCCTGCAGGCAGGCCAAGCACAGTCCAGGGGAATCAAGTCATGAAGTAATTGTTGAGGGTCTGTATGTTCCCAGGTTGGTGGGACGACAAGGCTCACCCACGTCCAGGTACAGTGCTCCATGGAAGGCCATCCCATCAGTTCTGTAAGAGTTGGTTGGGAGGAGGTCACACTGGCTGGAGAGGTCAGGGAAGGAGCCAGGGGAGCTAGCATGTATGGCATGCCCACCCAGGGCTGGGTTGCTTCGCTTCAATTATCTTGAGATGGGCCCAGCCTCAGAAGGGTAAGATACAGATAATTAGTGAGAAGTGAGGAAGGCAGTCCAAGAGGAAGGGACAGCATGGGTAATAGAGTAGTGTGGGGATATGCATGTACGTTGGAAAAGCTTAGAAGACCCACTGGACAGCCATGGAGGCCCACCTTGGAGAGCGGTGAGCAGTGGCCTAGAAGGGAGAGTGAGGGAGAGTCCTAAGGAGCCTTGGTTGCCAGGCCAGAATGCAGTCTTGACCCATTAGAGAAACACTGGTGTCCACTGGGTGCTTGTGAGCAGCAGAGAGCCAGAGGGCAGGCAGCAATCCAATAGAGCAGAGGTGGGGAGGCCATTTCGGAGTCGGTTGCTGGAGGGGAGGGAGCGAGTCAATAAGGCCCACACCAGGGAGGACCAGTGAGGCCAGAGATGGACAGCTAAAAGATGCAAAAGGCTTCCTGAGAGGCTGAACATGGAGGGGAGAAGGAAAGAGAGGGTCAAAAGTGATGCCAGGTTTCTTGCTGGGGAACCAGGGGGCAGAAAGGTGAGGAGGGAGGGAGCACACTGTGGAGGTAGTGACGAATTCCAGAAAGCAGACCTGGAAATGCCCAGAGGCTGGTGTACACTGGGTCAGGGCTCCTGGGTCTGGGGCTCAGGTCCAGTGGGAGTGGCTGTGAGCCCTCAGAGTTGGGTGTCACTGGTGGAAGGTGGGGAGTACTAAGGCATGCAAAGCCACAGGAGTGGCTGAGGATGCCTGAGAGAGAGTTAAGGAGCAATTCACATGAACGAACAGAGGGTACGGCATGGAAGCTGGGCAGCATGGGGCTGGTTGCCCAAGATCTGCAGTGACTGGCTTCTGGCTTCTTGCCCCCATGCTCTGCCAGGGCCAAGGAGCCTCAGTCTCCCAGAGAGGCTGTCAATCAGGCCTTGCACTGTTTCCCCCGACACTGTGGCTCTGTGAATGACTTCAGTCCTAGCAAAAGATGGACAAGTGGCACCAGCCACAACCTCTGGCATTGAGTGACTGGGAAAGGCTGATCCTGGGTTTCTCTTGGCTACAGGTGACAAGTACTGGGTATTTAAGGAGGTGACGGTGGAGCCTGGGTACCCCCACAGCCTGGGGGAGCTGGGGAGCTGTCTGCCCCGAGAAGGCATTGACACAGCTCTGCGCTGGGAACCTGTGGGCAAGACCTACTTTTTCAAAGGCGAACGGTACTGGCGCTACAGCGAGGAGCGGCGGGCCACGGACCCTGGCTACCCCAAGCCCATCACTGTGTGGAAGGGCATCCCACAGGCTCCCCAGGGGGCCTTCATCAGCAAGGAAGGATGTACGTAAGGGCCTGGCTGGGTGGGGAGTAGCCCGATTTTATGTAGGTCCCAACAGGGCCCATGGGCATACTCTCAGGGTATCCAAGTTTGAGAAACGGTGTCTAATGGTAAGGACAACTGCCTCACATCTACCCATGTTCACACAGTAAATTAATTCTCTTACCAGCTACCAAGCCAGGCTCTCATCTGCAGAGATGACTCACATTTGAGAGATGTTTTCATAGACTGACTTCACTCTTTCAGACAGCATTTCTCAAATAGTGGACCTCAGATGTACTCTAGGGCTTCCTCGAGTTATCAAATCTGAAAAGCAATGATGGATACAGGTGCTTTCAAAGGTGCTTTTTTTTTTTTTTTTTTTTAAACAAGGCTTGAGGGCAGGAAGATGGAAAGAGAAGCCTTTTTTATTTATGAGACATTTTCTAAGCTCCTCCTGGAGGCCAGGCTGGGAGCTTCCCAGCAGACCAGAAGCTTCTCAAGAAGAGGGGCTGGGTGTTGCCAGGTGCAGGAATCCATGAATGTTTGTTAAATACATTTCCCGTGATCTGGTCAAAAATACAGACTCTGGAGGCTGGCTGACTTCACATCCCGCCTCCACCACTTACTATGAGTTTGAGCAAACCATTTAAGTTTTCTATGTCTTCATCTATCAGATGGGGATAATAATGGTACCTACCTCATTGGGATTTGTAAGAATAAGGTAAATTAAGTAGAGCACTTAGACCAATGCCTAGCACATGATCCATGCCATGTGAGACTTAGCTGCTATCATCATCATCATCATCTTGTTGGTGTGTTTTAGTTTTTGTAGAATGACAGGTGTCATCCATTCCCTCCACAATGATTACTGAGAGCCAAGTTTTGTGGGAGAGCTGGGGAAGGAGCAGAGAACAAGACTTGGATTGCATCCCTGGCTCCCATTCTAGAGGCAGAAAACAACTAAGGTGGCAGCAAATGCTCTAAGGGAAAGAAATGCAGCCGAAGAGCTATGGGGGGGGGGGGGGTGCTGGGGAGGGCCCGTTAGAGAGGGTTTGTCAGGAAGGGCTCTCTAAGGAGATGTCACTGGTAAGAAAGCCAAAAGTCTCGGGGGGAAGAGCTGCTACTGATGGCTCTCCTGTGTACCTGATGCTTAACACACATGGTCTTGCTTTCTGGGAGCCTCAGAGACAAGTGACATCAAGGACTTTGGCCAATGAAAGTCCCAGAGTGGGGAGCCAACCAATAGGAGAGTCTGAGTTGCTTTGCTGTCTGTACACTGTCTGGGCCATGAAGGCTGTTGCTGGGAGCCTGGTGTGGCTGCCCAGCCCCTCCACCTCCTTTCTCCTTCTCCTTCTCCTCCTCCTCCCCCCCCTCCTCCTTCTTCTTTTCCTTCTTCTTTTCCTCCTTCTTCTCCCTCTCCTTCTCCTTCTCCTCCTCCTCCTCCCCCCTCCTCCTCCTCCTTCTTCTTTTCCTTCTTCTTCTTCTCCTCCTTCTTCTCCCTCTCCTTCTCCTTCTCCTCCCCCTCCTCCTCCTCCTCCTCTTCCTCCTTCTTCTTCAAGTTTATTTATTTTGAGAGATATAGAGACAGTGTGAGTAGGGGAGGGGCAAAGAGAGAGGGAGAGAGAGAGAATCCCAAGCAAGCTCCAGGCTATCAGCACAGAGCCCGATGAGGGGCTCAAACTCATGAATTGTGAGATGATGACCTGAGCCGAAACCAAGAGTCAGATGTTTCACTGACTGAGCCACCCAGGTGCCCCAGTCTCCACCTCCTTTCTTTCTAGCCTCTTCTCCAGCAGTGTCCCAGAGACCCTGCATCTGTATTGTGATGCAAGCCAAAGAAAAGCCACAACTGTGACAAGGTGGTGTCCGCTGTCAACCAAAGGAGAAACCTGGCTCCCTGCCTCCCTTGCCTCAAGCAGAAGCTAGACTGAGGCTCTAGAGCTATGAAGGCAGTGCTGTCCAAGCCATAGTTGGGAACTTGATCTCACCAACATGGGCGGGGTGGAGGGGAGGGTTATAAGGTAGGGAGGCACAAATTGAACTTATCAATTCTACTTAAAGCCCCTCAGTGGCTTCCTGGCACCTGTGAGATGACAGGCCAGGCTGCTCCAGGTCCCGGGCACACCTCTTTGCAACCGTGCAGGTCACACTCCGAGACCCTGTCACACTGTTGGCAGAGTGTGCTACACACTGCCCTCCCCCCACCTGCAAGCGACCCAACACGCCGCTCCCACCACTTCATATGCCCACCCCTCCTTCAAAGCTCCTCTGGGATGCCAGGGTGGGAGAGGCGTCCTTCTTCCACACTGCCACAGCACCCTATGCCCTCTCACTCTGGCCCAGAGCAGGTGCAGGGCAGTACCTGGGAGTAGTGATGCTGGACCATGTTTCTGCAGATTACACCTACTTCTACAAGGGCCGGGACTACTGGAAGTTTGACAACCAGAAACTGAGTGTGGAGCCAGGTTATCCACGCAACATCCTACGTGACTGGATGGGCTGCAACCAGAAGGAGGTGGAACGGCGGAAGGAGCGGCGGCTGCCCCAGGACGATGTGGACATCATGGTGACCATCAATGACGTACCAGGCTCTGTGAATGCCGTGGCTGTGGTCATCCCCTGCATCTTGTCCCTCTGCATCCTGGTGCTGGTCTACACCATCTTCCAGTTCAAGAACAAGGCAGGCCCTCAGCCTGTCACCTACTATAAGCGGCCAGTCCAGGAGTGGGTGTGAGCAGCCCAGAGCCCTCTCTGTCCACTCGGTCTGGCCAGCCAGGCCCTTCCTCATCAGGGTCTCAGGGGCAGCTCTGGCCACTGCCCACCGGGGCCAGAAGGGCCCTAGGCCAGGGGTCGTGCAGCTGAAGTGGTAGGTACATTGGCCTAGGCTGAGCATGAGGCAGGGAGTGATGGTGGCTGTGCCCCAGGGTGGGTGTCTGGCAGCCAGTTGCCAGCCTTCTGTCCTGGGTGAACTGCTCCCTACGCAAGGGAATAGGCCAGGCCCCATCAGGAGGCAGGGACCATGCCAGGAGGAGGCCCTGTGGTCACTGCATCCTGTGGTTATCAATGAGGCACCACAGCTCTGTTCCTGGCTGGACCCAGCACCTTCTGTGGAAGCCAGCACTAGCACTCTCAGCACCCTCTGGGAGATGCCACCAATCCTGGTCCCCCTTTGCCAACACCTGCTGGTCAGATGTCCCCCTGCCCCCACCCCACTGTCCTCCAAGGCTACAAGACCCCTGCTGCCAACATGGCGGGCCACAAGCCCGGGTTTCCACTGCTGGCATACAGCAGATCCCTCAGGAAACCTGCTCCACATCAGGGTCTCCTTTGAGATCTAGGATTTAGGGTCACATGTTGCAGGCAGTGTTGTGGCCCAGCGGGGTCTGACAAGGACCCAGCTGTCACGTCGTGAATATTTAAATGTCCTGTTACTACTGTTTTAAAAGTCCCATTCTGCAAAGGCTGTTTGAGGCGTTAGGTGAATTAGAGGTGACTATCTTGGTGATGAGGCCAGCGTGGCCGGCCCTTCCCCAGGAGACAAGGACCAAGGTGCTGCTAAGGCCACTCTAGCGCCTAGACACCCCAGGAGCTGAACCTGCTCATGAGGCTAAAGGTCTGGGGCAGGAGCTGATCCCATCTCTGGAGGCTGATCTGAGTTCTGACTATCCTCCACTTCTCTGTCCCTCTCCCCATTCTCCCAGTCCCCAGCCCTGTTGCTTATGGCCTGGGGCTCAGCCTGACTAGCTAGGTGAGGCAGAAATGGCTCCAGGCCAACATTCTCATGGCTTTGGGGGTAATGGGCCCAGGGCAGCCTTCTCAAGTGTTCAGAGCCCACACCCCCAGTTACCCTGAGGCCAACTCAATCTCTCAGCTTGGAAGCAGTGTTTATACAAGCTTGGCCCTTGCTAACCCTGCTCACTGGGCCCATCTGCCTGCATTGCAGTCCCAATCCTAGGGGCCCATCCTTCACAGTCTCTGGAATTCCTAGGGCTCAGCTTGCCTCACTCCAACCCAGTGGAGGCAGCCCTGTTTGTCACTGAAGAGCCCTAGGCAAGACTAATGGGTTCAGTGATGCCCACTGGCTCTCTGCCAAAGCCAAAAGGTGGTACATCTTCAGGGTGCTGGCAGAGTCTCCGATGCCACTCTGGCCCTCTGGGCCTGCATGGGCCTCACCCCTACCCTGTGGCCTCTGGGCTTTGGGTTGGCTTAACCTGTAGCAGACAGGGACTACTATTGCCCTGGGAGCTGTCTTGAGCAAAATCTCTCTTGTCCCAGAGGCACCTATGTGGGTCCACTATGTTCCCGGGCATCATCCTTCTGTCTTTTCTCATTTTGACCAAGGGCGGGCTCCCTGGGGTGGGTGGGGAACAACTGCAGAGATATTAGTGATTCATAGGTTTGTATAGTGTTTTATACTTTGCAAAGCACTTTATTAGCTCATACCTGTCCACTCACATGAAACTCGTGTAGGCCCTGGGAAGCCTAGGGTAACTCTCACCGTGCCCTCAAATGAAGCACAGAGAGATTGTTTCTTGCCCAGGCCATCGGGTGGGCTGGCTGGGCCTTGGGTCCCCACCTATGGACCCCTCTAGGGTCCAAGATGAGATCAGAAGTGTCTCTTTTATCCATCTTTTCCTGGCCTCCCTTCTCCCCTTCCCGGTCCCTCTCCACTCCTCAGGTTGGTGCTCTCTCTTTTTGGAAGCTCTAGGCTCCCCAGGCTCCCCCTTGGCTCCTGGTACTACCAAGGCCAGCTGAGAAAGAGCAGGAGATGGAGGCAGGCAGCTCAGGCTGCAGATGTGAGGGATGCAGGGCCAGGCCCAGAGAGGTCTCAGCCTGGAGGCTTCCAATCTCGGATTCTCCTGTCTTGTGGTCACCTGTTTGCCCATCACCACAGGACAGGGCAGACAGACAAAGGGGCACTGCACTGGGGACCCCAGAGCCCAGCTTCCCCTCGGCCCGGGGAATATCACAGCATTTCAGTGTCGGTCACATTTTAAACTGATCAGCCTTTGTATAATGTTTTTTAAATCATTTCTAAATAAAACAAAAATACAGAGTGTGTTGTTTTCTTGGGATATAGGAACAAGGATCAGGTTCTGGGAGTGGCCTTAAGAAACTTCTGGGAGAGGGGGAACAGGGTGCTTTGGGGTGTCTGGGAACTGTCCCATGCATCTCATCTACCAGCCCAGCAATCAAATGTCCCCTCTCTCAAAAAGGCTGGCCCCAGAGGCCCAGTGTTACTGGGGTTCCTAGAACACAACCTGATAATGCCTCACTGGGATCCAGGATGGCAGAGCACGCCCCCCCCCCCCCCCCCCAGGAGAAGTACAGGGAGGGTCACTGTGGCAAGGTCTTCTCCGAAGCCAAGGCACATGGTGCCATAACCAGGGACAAAAGCAACAGCCCGGTTCTTAGCAATAAGGAACAGACGAGAGGAGGTGAGGTCAGCAGTCTTGGGGTCTTACCAGGAGTCCTGGCCTGGTTCTGGAAGCCAGGGCCAGGGAGGGCTGCCCCAGAACCCAGACGGCTGGAGAAGCTGTAGGGTGGGGGTGAGCACGAAGGTTTAAGCTGGTTTGGGTGCAGGCTAAGAAGCGAACAAATTCGGAAGGAACTAGAGGCGAGCCGGTGCCCCATGGCGAGGCTGCCGAAGAGGCCCTGCCAAGACCTCCTTCCAGTCCTCCATGATCTATCTCCTCGACTCTTCGAGCCTGTCCTGGGCGCCGGGGTTGGAAAAGGACGACAAGAGAGGAACATAACAGCACAACGACAGTTGGCAGCTGGCAGTAACTGCGGAGGGTGTCGAGTCAGTACCAGGAGGTGCAGGTGATGAGGAAGCGCACATCGTCCAGTGGCCCCCAGGGACTGGGTTCAGGCTGGGGCCGCTCAGGGGCCTCGGGCGCCCCGGGTTGGGGCTGGGGCTGGGCCTGCACGGGCTCTGGGGCGCCCTGGCCACCGCTCAGCCGAGCACCCATCGTCTGCAAAGAGAAGCCGTTAGATGCGGGTGAGCTGCACGCGACCCGGTCGTCCCGCCACGCCCCGGCCCGACCCTCCTCTCTCACCGCGAGAGCCACGGGTCTCCAAGGTCCCAGAGCCGGCGACTGCACTCCGCTGGCCTGCGTACTTGCGCTGGGAGGAGCCGGCGTCGTGACCTCACCGCACGCAGGCCCCGCCCCCTAGCCGCTGCTGCGGGGTTGCGGACCCGACCCCACCCACCAGTAACTGGCCAATGCTGCTCCAACATCGCGGGGCCCCGCCCCGCACACAGCAGGAGACTGAAGGAGCCGCCCCAGCAAGCCACAAAGGACTCATCCAGACGCTTCCTGGCTCCACAGGCACTGTAGCTAAGGGAGGGCGCCTGCCAGTTTTCTGAGAATCTCCATGGCACCTGGCAGCCAGGCCAGCAATCTCCATCCACTTTGGTCAAAGAAGACAAGACTGCCCTGAAGCCAGGTGCTCCAGACCCCTTACAGGTCCTCATTCGGGCCTAGAGGAGAGCTGGAACATTCTCATCTCTTAAACCCCAGAAGTAGGAGGCTGAAGTCGCATGGAAAAGGCTAGAACTACAGTAGAGAGTGCTTCCTCCTCTTGCCCTGGGACAATCATCAACCCCCATCCTGATGATCCCGGGACGAGGGTGGGAAATTGTGAGACGGGGGGGGGGGGGGAGGGGGGAGGGTGTGTCCTACCCACTTTCCCCCAGAACAATGCTAGGGAAGGAGGGTTGCAGGTGGAGGCCCCCAAACAACACATTCAAGAATAGCCAGGCTGCCTTTTAATGGGGGTGGTACAGGAAAGAGAGTGGTCAGTCAGGAGCCGTTAAGGCCTGACAGACAGCACAACATGGCAGATGTTTGAAGTAACTGTAGATTCAGGAGATGGGCACAGGTGAAGAGCTGGGCATTCAGCCACTCACTCCCAGTCAGTTCTCTGTCAACTGGCTGCCTGGCTGGGTGGGGCAGAGGGAGCCAAAGTCCAGAGGCAGGAACCCGCAGAACAGCAATGGAAGGTAACTCAGGTGAGGCTAGAGAGAGAAGGAACACTGTCAGTAGGTGCTTCTCAGAGCATACCCCACCCTTTATTCTTAAGATGCTTGCCTCCACCCTCACCCCTTTGTTCCAGCTCAGCCCTGAAGAGCCACATTCAGAGCCCTTTCCAGATTACACTGCTTCCTTGAGTCACAATCCAGTCAGAACTCTCAATGCTTAAAAACTAACAGTAACTCCTTCCCCACTCAACTCAATTTGTTCACTGTTATCAATCACAAACCAGAGCCTCAGAACTCAAGTCCAGCAAACATCAGAGAAGGGAGTAAGGGGATTCACAAGAGAAGGGATGTGCCCAGACCACAAATCCCTCAGTGGCAGGGATGAGGCCAGAACATTCTTCCTGGAGGTAATAAGTACGTATACAGGGGCGCCTCAGTGGCTCAGTCAGTTAAGTGTCTGACTTCAGCTCAGGTCATGATCTCATGGTTTGTGAGTTCGTGCCCCGCATAGGGCTCTGGGCTGACAGCTCAGAGCCTGGAGACTGCTTCGGAATCTGTGTGTCCCCCTCTCTCTGCCCCTCCCCTGCTCATGTTCTGTCTCTCACTCTCTCTCAAAAATAAACATTTAACAAAAGAAAAATTACAGGAGATATAAAATACATGTACAATTATAAAACTAAAGTGCATACTTTTTAAAAAAAATTTTTTTTGTAACATTTATTTATTTTTGAGACAGAGCATGAACGGGGGAGGGACAGACAGAGAGGAAGACATAGAATCGGAAGCAGGCTCCAGGCTCTGAGCCATCAGCCCAGAGCCTGACGTGGGGCTCGAACTCACAGACCGCGAGATCGTGACCTGAGTTGAAGTCGGACACTTAACCGAGTCACCCAGGCGCCCCTAAAGTACATACTTCTAATCAACTACCTGACACCTTCATTATCAGCTCTCATGGGCACCTCAAACTCAACAGGTTCAAAACCAAAGAAGGATAATGAGTTTTGGCTCTTCCTTTCCAGTATCCATTTCTGTTCCTTACCTAACTGCATAAGCAAGAACCACCAAAATACTGACCAGTACTGGTCACTGTGGGCAATTCTGCCTGACTTTAAGAGCAATTTCTGAAGTTTTACCATTAAATACAACATTTGCTATAGTTTTCTTGGTAGGTACCAATTATCAGATTGCAAAAATTTCTTTCTGTTCTTAGGCTAAAAGGTGTTGTTGTTGTTGTTTTGTCCTTTAACTAAATGATTGTGTATGTACTGCCTTCTTTGTAAGATTCTATGTTCCACAAGGGCAGGGTGGGTATATCTTATTCACCAAATCACGATTTTCTGGCACGTTCAAAAAAAAGTTACTGAACAAATGACAGAACTACTGTACCACTTTCCTATTCAGACCCTTTCAACTACTCTCTCAATTCTGATTCCCCATCAGAATTACCCAGAGAAACTTATTAAAATAAACCAAACATGGTTGGGTCTCACTCCAGAGTGAATTGGTAACTGGGGGGTGATGCCAGGAATCTATATTAACAAGCATCCCAACATAGACTAAAGGTCAAAATCACAGGCCTACAGTCAAAACTTCTTGACATGGGAATTGAGGGTCTTTGACACTCTGACAATATTACCTTGCCCTTTCACACTCTCCATACTTTCCCACCTCTGGGTCTGTCTGAAGTGCTTTCCTACTCCATCTCTGCATATTCAAATGTCTATTCATTCCCCTGGGCCCAGACTAAACGATTTGCCCCCGACAAAACCTTCCGGGATACCAGAGTGTTTCACTGGAGCTTCCTGAGCCACCTAAGGCACCTTTTATCTCTTCTTTGAAGGCAGTGAAGAGTTATGTGTGGCCTCTACAACTTCTCGGCTACACTGTGAGCTCCTAGAGGCAGGACACAGGGCTAAGTTGCCTGCCTATCCTACATGGAGCCCTATCGACAGGGCTCAGTGAACATCAGATGAACAAATGAATGAAGAAGGGAGAATGAAGGGTAATTTTGCCTGTTGTAAAGTAGGGGGTCTGTCACTGGGTACTTGCTCTACTATGGGCATATGGGGTTTCTATCCTCATAAAGATTGCTGGGATACTTGGGTGTGGCATGCCTTGAGAAGAATCCTCAATGGGAAAAGGTGAATATCAGCACCTGCTGCTCCTCCAAAGGAAAAAGAGATTCCAGAGCCTCATACCCCAGAACCTCCAGGGTTAGGCCCAAGATGCCACTTTTTTCTTAAACCCACAAAAATCCAGACGATTGTGATTTTGATGCAATCCCCACCCCCAACAAGTCCTTTAGGGTCTCCTTAGTTTCTAAGAGCAACTTCCCCTCCTTCCCTCTGCAAACAGCTCTTTTTGGTCTCAGGCTCTGGGCTGCTGGCTGGGGACACCGACACACAAGCACACACAAACTACAAAACAATGTGGTCAGTGAGAAAATAAGACAGACCAGAGGGAAGCTTTGCCCAGAGAGGGGACACTGAGCTGAGTCTTCAAAGATGGGGATGAGCAGATACTCAGGCAATGCTCACTGGCTGTACCTTGTGACTGCTCAGCAATGCACAGGTGTGCCCTCACACACAAGGACCTACCGGTATGAATGCAGTGTGGACCCATCCTAGGTGGCATCTCCCTCCTCTACCCTCCAAAGGCAGAAGAGAGACCCAGATACCTGTCAATGAGGGAATCCCGCATGCTGGTCGCAATGGTGCTAGGCTGGGCTTCATTCAGCTTGAAGACACTCTCCACCACTGACAGCTCTGTGCTGGTTGTGTCCAGGCCACAGAAGGCACACCAGTCATTCACCACCATCCCAGCGGCAATTACCTCGCTGCCTCGGTTCACAGTGCCTGCCTGCCAAGGGAGAGCTCAGTGTGGATCATGGCACCAAAAGCCACAGTCCTGCCACTCCCTGGCGAGGACTATCCCCAAACCCCACTCCTTGACCTGCATCCCCAATCGCAAACTGTAACAGGTAATAACTCAGATCCTTAACGCTAGGCAAAGGATCTGCCTCAGGAGGAGACAGAGATCAGAGAAAGGAATGCTTACCACAAGGGGGACCTGAAGAAGAGAAGACAGCTCATCTTGGTCTTCAATTGAAGTCTTGGGATGTACCAGTCCTCCCTGATTGCTGAAGACACAGTAGCTTCCTACTAGCACCTGGTCAGCCACTGTCTGTCTGAAGACTTCCACCTTGAGCACATCAGCCAAGATTTCTTCTGTTTCCTGTTAGCCAAAGGCACTGTACTCAGGGCCCAGAACTTCCAGGTCAAGGAACCAGGGGCCCTCCACACCCAGAACCACCCAGGGCTTGGCTCCCTAAGCCCCTCATCCCTCTGCTACCTAGCTGCATATGGAAGCTTCATGCAGAAAAAGCAGGAAATACAGGTTGGAGCAGAGTCTAGACCAGCTATGGAGTCCCGAATAGCTGTGCATGCCCTGAGGAGGCAGGGGCTGGTCTCCACATCACCCTCTTCCCTCTAACCCACACTCAAGAGTTCAATTGTCAATCATCTCTCCTGGTCCTGGTTGCAGGATGGGACGGAGCAGTCTCCCTGATTTTGGAGGATTAATACCCTCCTCAGCTTCTTTCTGGCACTGGTCACACCTCTATTATCACTATTATCACTATTCCAATGAGTGCCTGAAATCTGAGAGCCCAAGTATAAAGAGAAACCACAAGAGACACCCCTAAGTCCTGCCTGACAGGCAAGAACAATGACTAACCACTGACTAGGCGGGTCCTGTGACTCTTGGGCGAAATTGGGCTACCTTACCCTGTCCAGGTCTGGGTGGACCAAGGCCACGTAGTCGTTGCAAGTGGTGACATTGCCCAGGGCTGAGAGCCGCTCCTCCACCCGCCGGATCTGCACTGAGTCTGGGAGGCAGTTGCGAATGTGCTGTAGCTCCTGGTCAGTGGTGTTGTTGGGCACCAGGAGACCATGTCTGTTCCCTAGAGATCCAAATTAGGGGGTGGGGCAAGAATGGACCACAAATACACAAGTAGCCTGCTAAGCTTTGGGGGTTTTAGATACAATCCAGCCCAGTCAGTTTCCCCAGGAAAGCTTTAGGCCCAGACCCCAGCCCGCTAACCCATTGATCCATACAACACCCAGGGGACCAGGAGTCCCATTGGGCAGGCCAGAGATAGCCCAGGAATTTGTTCCAACACACCCTGCCCATTTTGCCATCATCAACCAGGGGGGACCAGGATTAACAAGAGGAGCTCTTGGCGTTAGCTATATATTTTGCTACTTGAAAACTGAGGTAACACTGCACACCTATCAGAATGGCTAAAATGTTTAAAAGAATGCCAATACCAAATGCTGGCAAAGATACATGGAACAACCAATAGGAGTATAAATTGGTCAACCACTTCAGATTATTATTTGGCATCACCTACTATATAGAATATCCGCATACCCTGTGCCCAACCAGTCCTCTCCTAGGTATTACACATCCAACAGAAACATGTACATGTGTTCACTAAAAGACATAGCAACCCTATTCATATTAGAACTGAAAACTACCCTAATGCCCACTGTCAACAAAATGGATGAATATAATGTGGTATATTTACACAAAACACAATACGAATGAACAAACTACAATTATATTGTGACAACAATAACTAAACCTCTGCCTGCCTCCACAAGAACACAACTCTTGAACTTCTAAACTCTGAGTTACACCCATTATATATTTAAAAAAAAAAAAAAAAAAAAAAAACACCAAGCGACAAGTCCAAAGGTCATAGTTAGGGCCAAAGAGTGTTTGGCCTGAATAAGAAAATACTCAGAGGCTAAGGTCATCAGGCTTATGACTTAAAAAAACAAAAACAAACAAACAAAAAAAAACTCCCATATGACCCCAATGAACAGAACTAGAAATAAGGGGTGACAGTAAAGGGAGACAGATCCAGCTCAAATAAAGGACCAATGGCCAGACTCAACAGTGCTGAGAAGTAGGGGAGTGGGATAGGGATGCCACTCAGAGACATGGTAAAGCCAATTTAAGACTTAAATGGATAATGAACAAGATGACCCAGAATCTTAGCTTGTCATTTTGTAGAGGCAGAACTGGATCCTCAGAAAGAGGAAGCAACTTGCCCAGAGTCAGTGGCAAGGGAGAGAGGACATTTCCATCTTCCCTCCCAGGTGTGGAGGGAAGGTGTGGTACTTGGTGAGTCACTTGGGTTCCTTGAAATCTTGGCTTCATCATTAGTCAGATTAGGCCAATAAGGCCTGCCTGCCAGGGTCTTCGTGAAGAAGGATTGAAATCAAGTTTAAGAGTGAAAGCACTTAATGTTATTTGTTTTCCTATGATCCAGAAGCTTTTGCCAGTGATAGTCCCTGATCTGAAAGCACTTAAAAACAGGGTCCGGCACAGGCCAGAGAGATTCTCTAGTTTCTGGAGATAATGGATGAAAGCCGGAAAATCCAAGGGTCACTAGAAGTCCCCTCCAAGGCTAAAATTAAAGGCTCTGGGAGGATCCACTCCCTCGCTCAGCGTCTGGCTTACCCACACACATGCGCCCGATGATGCGGCAGCCAGCGATGGACGCGTGCACCACGGGGATGGTATCGGCGAGCTCGCCCTCGAACACACTGTAGGGATGTGGATTCAGTGGTTAAGGAGCTGAGGGGTCTGAGTCCCCAACTCCCAGCACCCTCTCAGCCATCCAGCCACCCCACTGCCAGCAGACACCGGAGCTCCCGCCGCACCTGTAGAAGTTCTCCGACCCTCCGATGGCCACCAGGCAGTAGGTGTTGGTGAGTTTGGCAAAGCAGCCGATCTCACAGTTGTTCTCGAAAGACGCTCGGACCGCCATGAGGCCTAAGGGCTGCGGGACCGGGAGTTCAGGGCCAACGAATCCTCTCCCGGCCTCAGCCCTTCAGGGCCCGCCGCGACCGCGCCCCTCTTGGCCCCTCAAATCTCAGGTCCCGCCCACTGGACCCCTCTAGACTGTCTAGCCCGGAATCCTCCGACTACCACTCAAGACGCGGGGAGCCCAGAACTGTCCCTTCCGGCGTCCCTCCACACCCGCTCACCAAACGACAGCAACCCCAGCACGCTTCAACAGCTTCCACTCGGCCCTAGGTAGGTTTCCGTTTCCGCCTCAGCCCAGGGAGACTTCTGGGAGAGCTGAGTGCCCCCGTTTACGCAGGCCGCCACCGTAGCTCCACCCTCTGGGAGGAGTCTATGGTTGCAAGTGTTCCGGTCTGGACCCCACGTGGCCCCGCCCCACGCATGCTCTCATCCAATCATTCCTTCATTCATTTATTCAGGCGCTTTTTAGGAGGTACCATTGACCGAGACCTGTGGCTGGTTGGATGCGAGGCATAAGAGAGGAGGAGCCAGCGATGTCTCGAAGGAGACGAGTTGATGATGGAAGTATTTACTGAAGTAAAGCCTAAGGAGAAAGAGTAGGTGTGGGGAAAGTGACATGCCGAGTGTTAGATTTGGGACAGACGTCCAGGCCAAATCTGGAGCCCAGGGAAGAGTGAAGGGCTGAGATTTGGGGCTGAAACCTGGGGTAGATGAGTCACCCGCGGAGGCGTCCAGTAGGGAGAAATGAGACCAGGACAAAGGTCGGAGAAGGAGACGTGGCCAAGAAGTAGAAGAAACCAGTCTGAAGAAGGTATTGGAGAGAGGGAAGGATGGATGAAACCGGGTCTTAGGGAGGGTCCAGATGGGCAGTGGTGTGGATGCTGACTGGCTTCCACTATGCATGTCCTTGGTCACTCACTCAGGACCCACTATGTCCTCGAGATAGATGGTAGCACTCAAGAGACCTGCTCTCATGGATGAGATGAACTTGATCTACATTTTGTAGAGTCTACACAAGCCCCAAGGCCTCTCGGAATGTCACAATGAGGGTAGAGAGGGCTTGGAGCCCTGTCCTCCCCTCAGCCCTTCTGCAAACATCCGTCTCCCTCAGGGAGCCCTCCACAATTGGCCTGAATGGTCAATTGGCTCTTCCCCAGCCCTCAACGTGAAGTTCCACAACTCCACCTTTCTCAGGACACACCAGGCTGCTGCTGGGTCATAGCATGTCTGCCTTTATTGATTTGTATTGTGTAAACTGTCCCAGGCAGGTGGTGAGCTCAGGAAAAGACGAAAAACCTATCAGAGCCTATGCTTCTGTGTGTGTGTGTGTGTGTGTGTGTGTGTGTGTGTGTGTGTGTCAGAGTCTGAGTATCCACACCCTCTATATCCTCCCCAGTTCATCTCAGACCCACTCATCCTGTCCTGTCCTTGGCCTCTCTTCACCTGCTTCCCTCTACCAGGAATTCCTTTTCTCCTCCATCTGTCCAATCCTCCCCATCCTTCAAGGGGTGACTCAAAGTCTGCCTCCTTTGAAACTTTCCTCACCACTCCACTGTCACCACCCCCTGCCACTGATTCCTTGAGTTAGATACAGCTCTGTCTTGCCTGCCATTGGTTTATGTATTTATCCTTATCTCCCAGGGCCTGAGTCTGATTCACTTGTCAGCCCTGTGGTAGGTACACAGCTTGGGCCAAAGAAGATACTGGTTGCTGTGTGCATACCTATGTGTGTGTGTATGGTGTGTGTATGTGGTTATGTGCATATTTATTGTCTGTGGATCCTGGGGGGTCTACAGTGTGCACTGAATGCATATATTTTGTTTCGCTACTCATTTAGCCATATTACATTTATTGAGTACCTGTAACTAGAATTCTGAGTGTTTGGGTTTATCACATGGACCTTCGTTTACTTACTGAGTGTCAATGGGTATTCAGTTTGTGGGTATGAACCCTGTCAGGGTGTTGTGTGTGTTGTACAGGCATTTGGGGCATCTCTGTGATGTGTGTGTTTTGTGTGCATGGGGACATGTGAACTGTTGATAATGGTGTGTCATGTCTGTGCAAAAACACATTCTTAAGCATTAGGGACACGGGTTTGGGCCCCAGCTCTGCCACTGGTTCCACTTGGATCTGATTCCAAGCAAGTCATCAAACTCTCTGGGCCTCAGCTTCCACATTTATAAAATAGGGAAGATAGTACCTATGATCCTAGAAATGTATACCTGCTAGAGGTCTATCTTATAGAATGTTGTGAGGATGAAGGATAAGAATTAACCTGTGTAGGGCACCCACCACAGTGGCAAATGGCAGGTACTGTGGTTTCTATTTTCGTGTGTGTGTGTGTGTGTGTGTGTGTGTGTGTGTGTGTGTGTGTGTGTAAACAAGAATTCTGAACTCAGTGAGTATCTGACTTGAGCTTCTAGACACCCTCTGCTCCCCATGCAGCCCTGCTGGAGAACCCCAGAATCTGGAACCTGAGTAAATCTAGAATCCAAGTAGATGGAGGAAGGACATGTCCTTGCTGGGAGCAGAACTAGGACTCAAAGCGGCTTCGGAGAAGTTTGAACTTGGACTTGTTGTACTTAGTGATGAGGTCCAGTTTGCTGTGGCCCAAGGTCAGCCGCTTCTCATCCCCTGACAGGCCATTGCTACTGCCATTGTGATGGCCACCTGTGGGGCCCCCAGGGAGGCCAGGGTCAGGTCCTTGCCTGGTGCCCTGCAATTGATGATACTTGGTAATGAGGTCCAGCTTGCTGTGGCCCAGGGTCAACCTATTCTCATCCCCAGAGCCCACTCCAGCCTTTCGAGCAGGGCTTGGTCTGGGGAGACCACTGGGCCCAGCCCCCTCACCCCGGAATGGGCCAAACTTTGTGATGAGGTCCAGCTGGCTGTGGCCCAGGGTCTGTCGTCGCTCATCAAGACTTTGCTTGTCAGCCCTGGCTGAGGAGTTGGCTTCAGGGGGCACTCTGGAGCCCCCAGCCTTGGGGTACTGTACCAGGAGGTCCAATTGGCTGTGGCTATGGTTTGAGGACAGCCTCTTGTCCTCTGGAATTTGATTGCCAGGTCTGGGGGAACCTGACTCAGGGGTACCCCCAGCACCCTGGGTCTGGGGCAGGAGATCCAGCTGGTTATATCTCTGGTTTGGGGACAACCGCCTGTCCTCTGGAGCCTGCTCTCCAGGCCAGAAGGAGCCCAAGCTGGGGTCAACCCCAGAATCAGGGCCTCCAGCTTCTCTGGCTCTGGGGAAGGGGACAAGGAGATCCAACTGGCCATGGCTCTGATTCAGAGACACCTTCTTCTCCTCCACTGTCTCCAGGGCTGTGCTAGGTACCCAGCGACTTCGTTGGGGACTAGACTCCTGGCTTCTCAGGAGCCCATTCTCTGGGAGCCGGGATAGGGCTGAAACACCCTGGGGGAAGGGGAGGAGGGGGCGTTGGCGGGCAAGCATAGGCGACCCCACTGCCAGGGTCAAGGGGCTGGCACCATTGTGGTTGAGGGCAGGGGAGGACTGGGACCATGGGGACACCCCCAACTTGCCTAGATTGGACCTGTAGGGCCCTGGCAGGGAGCCATGGTTAGGGTCAGACAGCTGGCGCTTCAGAGAGGGCTGGCCACTGGCCCCGCGGCAGGCAGGGCCCAGGGATGAGGACTCCATACCCGTGTCACTGCAGCCACCGCCTCCTGGTGGACTGAGGTAAGAGGAGTGGTCCATTAGAGGTGAGCGTTTGATGCTGCTAAGGCTGGTGCTGGAGGGTGAGGAGGATGCAGGGCTCAACACACTGGGCCGGAAGCCCAGGGCCACTGTGGGAGGACACAGTGCCCTGGGAGATACGGGACCCTCACCACCGCAAAAGCCCTCCACAGGCCGAGACTCGGCATACAGACAGCGGAACTCCCGGTCAAAGTCTTCCACGATGCGGCCCCTCAGCTGCAGCACCATGCTAGTGTGGGCCTGGCTGCAAAGCCAGGTGAAGCTGGGAACAGAGGGTCAAGGTCAGAAGGCAAAGTGCAGGAGCCTGGGGCTGGGGGGGGGAGTCATAACCAGGTGAACATACCAAGACAACTCCACCACCATTAGGACCCACGTGAGGCGACAGAGCTCTGACTTCAGAGTCTGTGCTAGTCCTAACTCAGCTTAGAGGACTTGGGCACATGGTTTCCCATCTCAGGGTCTCAACTTCCCCATCTGTAAAATGGACTGGGGACGAGAGTCCCTGGAGTCCCTCCAGTTCTGAGGTGCAATATGCCAAAGGCATTAAAGTAATCCTTCCACAAAGTGAGCTCCTCCAGGGCCCAGTGGGGGGCTGTCTTTCTCCCCCACTATGCCCTGAGGCCTGCACAGTGCCTGGCACTTGGTAGCCGTCAAGTCCATGTTGCAAGGTTGGGTGGATGAAGGTAAATTCAAGCTGCCAGATCCCAGGTGCCCTCACCAGCCGGTGGCACAGCCCCCCGCCCCTCTCTCCCCTGTTGCCTGTGCTCACCTGTAGCTGCCTGCCACCACCTGCTCACAGTCGATGATAACAAACTTCTCCAGGGCCTGCCCCGTGAAGCGGCGGCCAGCCTTGCTGCAGTATGTGTCCCCACATGTGCTCCGCACACGCATGTTCTGGGCCAAGGAGGGAGGTAGGTTGGGTGGTGACCTTGAGAGAATGGGGCTCAAGCCACATCTAAATCCCTTGCAGTCTCTAACCTTAAGCAGCTAAGGAAAGTCAGGTCGCCCACTCCCATTGACCCCCCCCCCCACAGGCTTACTGACCCTTCTGCCCTCCCTGACTCCCCACCCCACCCCCTGGTTACCGCCCCTGTCCCTCACTGACCAGCAGGTGCCCCCCGTTGAGGTCCATCTTGTAGCACATCTCCAGGAAGTGCCTTAGGTGCTCCTGAGCCAAAAGCAGGTAGACAGGGACACCACGCCGGCTCGAGGCCTCCATGAGGTCACACAGAAGCTCCATGTCCGTGAATATATCCATCACGACAGCTACCACCTGGAGGACATAGGGAGAATTTCAGCCCTGCCTGGGATATTGCCCAGCCCAGGGGTGGGGGCTGAGGTCCCAGGAAAAGAGAACTGGGCTTAAAAGCAGGAGGCCAGAGCCTTTGAGAACATCTGGACTGGAAGGGCTTTTAGCAACAACCTAGATCAGAGGTTCTTAACTTAGACTCAGCGGGCGTTCCACTGTCTTGAATGCCCAAAATACGTTTGAAAGCTTCGGTGTGCATATTTCTGGGGACAGAGGGTTTATCTGTCATGGGCTTCTCAAAGATGTCTGTGAGGAGACCTAGGCCAAGAGTAGGGAAGGAGTCAGGAGCAGATACTAGACCCCAATTCCCAGTGCAGGCCCTCATACTCTCCCACTAGCTCCAGCCCTAGTGCTGTCAAAGTTTCCCTCCTCAAGAATTAGAGCTGCAGGCCAGTTATTGGGGGCTTTGAGCCATTGGCCAGACCTGCCTCAGTTTCCCTACAAAGCTACAGAGGTCTAGTGTGGTATCTTATACCCACAGACTCCCTCACTTCCACCCACGCCAAGTGAGACCAAGTTTTCTGCTCAGTTGAGGGACTGGGGCTTGTGGTCTCCTCATCTAATGGACTGCCTCACAGAAGCCCTGAAAACCCCCTCACACCATCAAGCCCCCAACTGCCCCTTCTTCCCTTTGCATATATCTGCTGTGAGAACCACCTTTGTCATCCAGGCTGAGGCAAGAGGTGCAAAGCACTGCAGCTCTGGAGCCGGACAGAACCGGGTTCAAATCTGCACTCTGCTACTTCCTAGTGATACAGCCTTGGGCAACTTTCTTCACCTCTGTGAGCCTCAATTTCCTCGTCTGTCAAATGAAGATAATGATAGCTACATCTCATAGTTATGAGGAATTCAATGTGAAAATACTCAACACACAACAGAAGCTCAATAAATGTTCCTTTCCTGCTGCCTGCTTAACAAACAAGGACATTGGCCCACAGGAAAAGGAAGCCCTTCCCAAGGTCACTCTGAGAGTCAGTGACAGCCCAGAGTGGAAGCCTGGCTCCTGGCCCAGAGGTGGAGGGTCTAGATGAGGATGAGGAGGCAAGTGCTGGAGGGTGCTCTAGTCCACGGCACAGGCCTGGCTGAGGGTGGGGGGAACAAGGTCAGGTAAGAAAGATCAAAGGGGCAGGGGTGACAACAGCAGCCACCTCACTAATAACCCCATTCCCAGTGCTAATCAGGCCCGGCCCTCCCCTGCCTCGGGCACAGGCAGGTTTGCCAAGGAGGCTCTGGAGGCACCTGGGAGATTCCAGCTTGCTGGCTCCTGATCTCTGCAGCAGGCTGCTCCCCCAGACAAAGACACTGAGTCTAACCCACCTCAAATCCTTTGTGGGGTCATCTGATCCATTCCCCTGCCTCCTGAGTCGGAGGTCAGGGCTCAGGAATGAAGCTATGTTAGTCTGTGGCTGGAGCCTTCCCAGATACTGACCATGGGACCTGCTCTCCTCCCCCTCTTCTTTCTCCTGAGCCCCAGCTCCCCATCTCTGAGCCCAGAAGCCCCCACCCCTCTTCCCTTTTGGTGCAGAACTATCATCCTGGCCCTCAAATGCCATGCTGAGGCCCAGGCACCAGTGCCTTCTTCCCTGTTTCAGGCCCAGCTGGAGATGCAGTATATGAGGGGTGAGGTGCAGCTGGGGATGTGCACCAGGAGGCAGGGCCAAGCCTGGGTCCAGGGCCTGAGTCGGGGCCCCTTTCTCTCCCCCTGAGCTCTATTTCACCAACTGACTGGACCTTCCTGAGCAAGTGCCAGCCCCTCTCTGGCCTCAGTTTCCTCCTCCATAAGTCAAGGGGGTGACTCAAATGTTCATCAAGGTTGGACTTCTTAGTTTGGGAGCATAAACTCTCCAAGAATCTGATGAAGGCCATGGACTCTCTCCCAAGAAAAATTCAGAGAGGATCCCTCCTAGCAATATGCCCAATTTTGCCTGCATTTTTAGGGTGTCTGGTGAGTAATGCTCTTGAGTGTCAAGGGATTACCAAGGTAAATAAAACACATGCCCACTCTCTAGGAGCTGGTGATCTGATAGAGGCCAGAGGTTCTAGTCCCAGTACTGCCCCTAAGCTGCTTTATATGGCCTTGGGTTGGTCCCTTTCCCTCCCTGGGTCTCAGTTTACACATCTGTGGAATGAATGTCTGAAGATATAAGGCCCTTACCGTGCGGGCCTGGCTGATGAGAAAACGCAGAAGGTCCTTGATGTTCTTGGCCTTGTCCCGCTGGAAGTGGACCACAGCCTGGGTGGGGCTGAAGCCTGTGGCCTGCGGAACCTCAGGCCAGCCCAAATCCAGGTCCGGGGGGTCTATGTCAGAGGCCATGGGGAAGTAAGTGCCTGAGGTGATTTCAGAGAGCAAGCTGAGGCGGTCAGGCCCTGAGGCCTCCAGTCCCTGGGCCTCGCTGAGCTCAGGGCCCCCATGCACATGGCTGGTCATGTAGTCCACGTCCAGAGCACTCAGGAAGGGCAGCTCCCGCTCCTCGGAGATGACCCGCAGGTAGGCGGCCTCGCCCCGCTCCAGGAGGGCGTCGGCCGCCAGCCGGGCAGCCTCACTGTGCTGGAGCACCAGCGGTGAGGCCTCCCGCCACCACGGCCGCTTCAGCTCCTCCACCCGGCCCCGCAGGGGTCCCGCCATGCCCTGGGCCCCCAAGTCCCCAGGCCCTAGGCCTCCGAACATTCCTGCCCACCTGGCTGCCCTCACCCTCCAGTAGGCTCCATGGCCTGCACCCTGGGCCGGCTGCAGCAGGAAGAAGATATCAATAGAACCACCTCCTGCCTGCCTGCCCCGTATGTGCCAGGGCCCCCAACACGTTGCCACCCTAAATCAGAGCCATGCTCCGCCCCATTGCCCCTGGCCTCTGGAACCTGTTGGGTCAGCCTCACCTGTCTGCCTGCTGTTGAGACTCGCCCGCTCAGGGAAATGGCAGTGCCAGGCCCTTAGCACGCACTCCTGCCCACCCCCACCCTGGCACCACCCCACCTTCACCTGCCCCAGCCCCACCAGGCTCCCAGCAAGTTTCCTCCAAACCCTGACCTTCCAGAGCCCTCATAGAGGTTGGATTATGGTCCAGAGGGGCCCAGTCCTGTTCAGACACACACATGCACAACACACACACATACACTCGCGCACACACACACACACCAGGGTGGATAAATGACTCAAGATACCGAGATAAAGACATGAACACACAAGTAGATAGGCTGACATGTCATATGCAGACCATACGTTTCGATCAAACCCATGTGAACTGACCCAAATGTTAATTCAGAGACAAGCCATAACCCTAAACATACCACGGTGGATATCACAAGCCTTGGCACACCTTGCATACAGGCCCTAAATAACTGAACAGGGTGTCACACAGAGCTGTCAAGGACATCAGCACCTATCTGTCCCCCATCTGGGCCCATCTGCTCCCATGATGGCTCTGCCGCTCTCTACCTCCCTAAGTGTGACACTCACAGTCCGCTGCCCACCCCCACCCTGGCTCTGAGTCCATCCTCCAAGGATCTCCAGCAGTGGCTTTTACCCTAGTCCCCAGGAACAGCTGGGGAGTGTTAAAATGCAGATCCCCAGGATTCACCCATCTGAGATTCAAATCCAGAAAATCTGAGTAAACATCTGAAGCCTGCTTTTTTACAAGTACCCCGGTGCACCTGGGACGATGGACCCAGGCCCACCCCTGAGAAATGCTGTTCCACATGGCTTGGCCTGGCATGGGCCACACCACATTCTTCCTCCCCACCTCAGGGGCTGCGTATTAAATGGCTCATAAGAAAGGTTGTTTTAGAGGAATGGGGGCACACTGCAAGGTCAGGAGGCAAACAGAGCAGGCAAGTTTCTGTTCTCTGCCCCTAACAAGGGCCACAGTCCCAGAGTCCTCAGTAGCATGAGTAAGAGGCTTTGCTCTGGAGAAGAGGGGTCAGTAGATGGCAGTTAGTTAGGGAGGCAGGCCAGGCAGAAGTGGTCACAACAGTGCACAGTGCCAACTCACAGTGCTACCCTTCTAAGGTGGGATGAGGCCCAATGAGGATGGCCTGGACAACAGGAAACCTAACATCACGTCTCACAACCCAGTATAATACTGATTTCACTTGCTTTATCTGGTCTGTGATCATGTTCAGACCAGACACAGGTCCTTTTATGTCCATGAGGCTTCACACAGGGCCTAACACATTCATGGCAGGGAGCAGAGGGATCTAGGGGTTCCCATGTCGAGCTGGGCCCTGGGACCCAAGATGAATGGGACTGGGGCTTTGTCTTTGAGGACCCTAGAAGTGAGAGGCCCAGGGGTCAGGGTAAGGCCAAGAGGTGAGATGCTGGGCCATTCCATCCCATTCCAGAGGCAGGGGCAGACACTGGAACACCAGATGCTCTAAGGAGGTCCTTCACCGGGGGTGGGGGTGGGGGATTACATGAACGGTAAGAGATTGGGTAAACAGAGCCAGACCGTGGGAGGGTAATGAGCTGTAGGGGTATCTGGGAGGCAGGGCCCTCATTAGGGCTTTATCTCCAGATTTGTTTGCGGGTAGAAGTGGGCCCTTATCTGGGCTGGAGAACTGTTCCTGAGAGGGGAGACAGGGTGTTTTTGTGTTGCTGGGTTCCTGTGTTTATCCCTCAATGTTTACACATCTATCTGATGATACATATTGTTGGCTATTTTTATAAAAACTATTTTTAATTGTGGAAAAAGACTTATAAAGTTTACCATCTTAACCATTTTTAAGTATACAGTTCAGTGGCATTAAGTACATTCATGCTGTTGTGCAACAATCACCACCATCCATCTCCAGAACTTTTTCGTCTTCCCCAGTTGAAACTCTGTACCCTTAATTAAACACCAACTCCCCATTCCCTCCTCTCCTCCAGCCTCTGGTAACCACCACTATTTCTTTTCTTTTCCTTTTTTTAATGTTATTTTTGAGAGAGAAAGAGAGAGAGTGAGCAGGGGAGGAGCAGAGAGAGGGGGACTAGAGGATCCCAAGCAGACTCTGTGCTGACAGCAGAGAGCCCAATGTGGTATTCAAACCCACGAACTGTGAGATCATGACCTGAGCTGAAGTTGGACAGTTAACTGAGTCACCCAGGTGCCCCACAACCACCCTACTTTCTGACTCAATGAATATGACTACTCTAAGCATCTCATCTCAGTGGAATCAAACAGTATTTGTCCTTTTGTGACTGGCATATTTCACTTAGCATAAAGTCCTCAAGGTTCATCCATGTTGTAGCACAGGTCAGAATTTCCTTCCTTTTTAAGGCTAAATAATAGTCCACTGTGTGTATATACCACGTTGTTTATCCATTCAACCACTGATGGATACTTGGGTTGTTTCCACCTTTTGGCTATTGTGAATAATGCTCTTTAAACACGGGTGTACAAATTTGGCTCTAGAGTTTTGTATATTTCCCTCCATGCTGATGTTTGTGTTAGATTCTTTTTTAAACTCAGCCCCATTCATCTTGGGTCCCAGGGCCCAGCTCGACATGGGAACCCCTAAATCCCTCTGCCCCCTGCCACGAATGTGTTAGGCCCTGTGTGAAGCTTTGTGGACATAGAAGGACCTGTGTCTGGCCTGAACATGATCACAGACCAGATAAAACGAGTGAAATCAGTATGCTCAACATGGGGCTCGATCTCGCGACCCTGAGATCAGGAGTAATGTGCTTTAGAGACTGAGCCAACAAGGCACGATTCTATTTCTGTAATTAAAAAAAAAAAACAAACAAAAAAACAAAAAAAAAACCCAACACTGAATATCAGTAATTTCATATGGTTCAACTCAATATATATACACATTCCCATGCATAGCTGTACCTGTGCATGTAATGTACATGTACATGCTATCTGCTTTGTTTGTATGTCTGCTTGGCTGTCTTTAAATATCTAGCCATATGTCAGTGTGCATTTACCTGTGTCTGTATGTGTGTATGTATATTTGTGTGATGTTTGGGTGAAGATCTGTTTGTGTGCATGAGTGACTGTGCAGCGGGGGAGGTCTTTGACCCTAACTCTGCAGTGTCGTACTGGGTGCATGCACAGGGAGGTCAAGTGAGCGGGGCAGAGACAGGAAGACAATGAATTGAAGTGAAAAGGGCTCCAAGGTATCCCTGACACGCTGATAATGAAAGCGTGTAAGTCAAATCAAATCCCCTAGGTGGCAAGACTAGCCCCTCCCATTGGATTGAATGGGTAGAGGGCAACCAGAGGGTAGACAGGTATATCCTGGCCTCAGGGCTGGGCCTGGGCTGGAGACCCAGAGTGGTAGGAGCCGTACAGATAGCAAAGCCTGGACCCTGGCGGCAGTGTGTTGGCACAGGCCCCTTAATAACTGTTATTAAAGGGAAGAAAAATATTTTCCTGTCCTGGGGACGTGTCAGGCGCCTGCCTGGCATCATTCTGCCATCCTGGGGGCCACTTCCCCTTGTCTGTGGTCTTTTATGAGCCAGGTGGCGCCTGGGCAGATGACTGTCGTGTGGGGATGGTTGGAGCCCATCAGATGCAGGCTGCTTGGATGCCAGCACTGCCGCGTACCTTTTATGTGGCACTTCTGGGTAGGGGGTGACAGTATTCCTGGGAGGAGCAGAAAGTAGGAGAGCCAGGCTGTGCCCAAATCCCTTGCATCATCAAGGCAAAGTGACCTAAGAGCTAGAAACACAGGAACAAGCGGTGAAGATATAAAAGGGTGAGAAAGACTCCAAGGTGTGCAGAATGACATTCCGGGCTGGAGGGCTAGAGGGGCACGGGCATGGCTACTGAAGGAAGATGGGGGCTGTGGTGCAGGGAAAGGGCTGCCAGAAAGGCCTCTGGAGCCACACTCTGAAGAGGGCCTTGCTGAATTGCTGGCTCTCATTGTCCAGACGATGGCGAAAGGTTGGCAAGATTTCTAGAGTGAAGCACCAGACTCGCAGGAACAACCCACATGGGTGTGGTTCACTGTTCTTGAGCACCACACGGGCCTTCAGGAGGTCCCACTCACTCTGGCACTTAATGAGCAAATGGAACAATCACAACTCTGAGCTACAGTGGTTTAATCTGTAAAATGGGACCAACATCACCTCCTTCACCAGGTTTTTGTGAGGAATAAGTGAGACAGTGCAAGTGGGGGAGGGGCAGAGAGAGAGGAAGAGAGAGAGAATTCCAAGCAGGTTCCACACTGCCAGCGCAGAGCCCAATGTGGGGCTCAAACCCATGAAGCTGTGAGATCATGACCTGAGCAAAAACCAAGAGTCAGACGCTTAACCAACTGAGCTACCCAGGCCCCCCATAAATGGGCTATTTTATGGCAAGTGCCTGACCAAGAGGAGGAGTAGTAGTTTAGTACATGCTGGATTCTAGAGCTTTCTCAGGCCATGAAAGGGCAGGGGCTCAAGTAGAGGCCTGAAGACAAAAGAGGCCTGAAGCAGCCACCAGAGGAGCTACTTTGGTCCGTCTCAGACCCCTTCTAGACCAAAGGCTGGCTCTGAACGTGAACATGGCCCTCTGGCCACGTCAGTGGAGTGTGGCTCTGAGATTTGGCCTCTTATTCCAGCTCACAGGAGACAATGTCCTCTCTTCACCCTCCATACACAGATAAGCATTCTGGCAGGCAGATCACAAGAACGAGAATTTGGGCATTCTATTTTGTAAAGGTGGCCGAGTCTGGGGTCTAGACTACAGACACTGTGATGATGGTGTCTCCCTTCCCTCAACTTCCCACAACCCACTCATCCACCTTATCCCATCCAGTTGTAGACTTGTTCTCACTGTTTCTGTAAGGGGAGGGAATTCCTACTCTACTTTCCAGGAGGAGAAGTAGGAGAGGACTGCCCCCTCTTTTCTCTTCACTCACTCTTCCTCTCCAAGGAAGGAATGGCTAGTCTGATTGGTAGCTTAGAAGGAGCTGGACTCCAATCTTTTGCCCTGCCC